AATATTGATCGGCAGGATTTTTTCACATAATTAATGTAGAATTTTTGTCGTCCGGAAGAAGTCCGTTGCGGGATGCTAACGATTTGTGTAATACTATTACAAACATCGCCATCACATAGACAGTATTCTGCTTGGACGACATATGGTGGGGTTGTCCTGAAACTGACAGTATTTCCTGGGTAAAAGTATTTTTTATCAATTTCTCAGATTGGAAAAAGGCAAATCAAGCGGGAGCCTATTTCACTGTGGTAGGTAATGGGCTCTTTCACCGGGACGAAGTTAGAGCGGAAGATTCTGAACGCTTTTAAGGTGCTGGCAAAAAAAGTACTTTTGTTTACGAAAAGGAATTCTATCAAACTCGAAAATTACCTGAGTAATATGTCCCTCTTAGTACATGCTGCATGAGGGTCAATTTCATCTCCAAGTACAAATTGAGAACAACCATAAGCGGTACCTAAACAGTAAACTTTTTTCATTTCATTTTCTATTCACCGTTAGTTTAATATTTTTCCAGTCAGAACAAATTCTTCATGATTTTTGGAATTGTAGAATTGTTAGGAAAAGCAGCGGTGAGTGATAAGTCTATAAATTGCATGATAGCTCCTCTTCCAATCAATCAATAAAATTGGCCGCCCTTTGATTGGGTCAAGCAGATCAAACACATCAATTCATATCATCAAATCACACTGGTTTTTTCAATAAATACCAAGATGAAGTAGATTTAATTGAAAATACAACAAATTGCATATGAAAAGGACTATTTCATACAGTAACCCAGGTTGTAGGATTTGGACTATGGAACTTACCTTATACAGTAAAACAGGGGGTAGGTTTTGTTATGAACATCTCTACTGGATCCATACTACTATCATAGGATTGCCCACTGGTTCTTTCTAGAGGATGGTGGGTTTACTGTACTCCGACGTCCCGATTCACTTGATTCTGGGTGGTTACTGTACAGGTGAATCCTTGCATCGCCAAGCTCTTTCCTAGAATCAAGTCTTACTTACTTTATAAGCTGGAAATTTT